GGTGCTGCTGAACGCGCAGTGCGACCTGCACGCCGTCAACTTCCACGGGGACACGCCGCTGCACATCGCCGCCCGGGAGAGCTACCATGATTGTGTCAGGTAATTGGGTCTGGGGGCTTCGGGGGGCCTGGGGGGGTCACAGGGGTCTGGGGGGGTCAGGGCAGTCAGGGGTCACAGGGACATGGGGACACCCCTTCCATGCGGACACGCCGCTGCACATCGCCGCCATGACTGTGTGAGGTCAGGGAATTGGGTCTGGGGGCTTCGGGGGGTCTGGGGGGTCTGGGGACACAGTGGCACAGGGACGTGTCTGTGTGAGGTCAGGGAATTGGGTCTGGGGGCTTCAGGGGGTCAGGGGGGTCTGGGGACACAGTGACACAGGGACATGATTGAGGTGAGGGAAATGGGTCTGGGGGCTTCAGGGGGCCCCAGGGGCGTCCCTGGAATTGGGGAGGGGTCTCTGAGGCCCCCCCGAATCCCCCTCCCCAATTTGGGCTCCCTGAGGGCCTCCCCGGGAGATTCCACGCGCAGACCAGGGGGGTGCCCCCGGAAATTGGGGTGGATTTGGGGGGTCCCGGGGGGTTCCCCCCAATTTGGGGAGGGGTCTTAAAATTGGGGAGGGGTCTCAGGACTTGGGGAAGGGGTCTCAGAAATTGGGGAGGGGTCTCAGGACTTGGGGAAGGGTCCCAGGTGGTCCCTGACCCCCTCCCCAATTTGGGCTCCCTGAGGAAGATTCCACTCACAGACTGTGGGGGTACCCCTGGAAATTGGGGGTGGATTTGGGGGGTCCTGGGGGTTCCCCCCAATTTGGGGAGGGGTCTTAAAATTGGGGAGGGGTCTCAGAATTTGGGGAGGGGTCTCAGAAATCGGGAAGGGGTCTGAAGTGGTCCCTGACCCCCTCCCCAATTTGGCCTCCCTGGAAGATTCCACTCACAGACTGTGGGGGTGCCCCCGGAATTGGGGGTGGATTTGGGGGGTCCCGGGGTGTTCCCCCCAATTTGGGGAGGGGTCTCAGGACTTGGGGAGGGGGTCTCAGAAATTGGGGAGGGGTCCCAGGTGGTCCCTGACCCCCTCCCCAATTTGGGCACAGACTGTGGGGCTACCCCTGGAAATTGGGGGTGGATTTGGGGGCTCCCGGGGGTTCCCCCCAATTTGGGGAGGGGTCCCTGAGGCGGCGCCGCCCCCCAGCCTGTTCCTGTCGCGCGGGGCCGACCCCGAGGTGCGGAACAAGGAGGGCGACTCCCCCCTGGACCTGAGCCCGGAGCGCTCCGAGGTCTGGGTGGCGCTGCAGCTCAACAGGAAACTGAGGCAGGGCGCGGCGGGCAGGGCGCTGCGCACCGAGCGCATCGTCAGCAGGTACGGGCGGATTTCGGGGATTTTGGGCAATTTTGGGCAGTTTTGGGCGTTTGGGATTTTTGGGGAATTTTTTCGGATTTTTGGGATTTTTTTCCCATTTTTTTCCCATTTTTTTCCTGATTTTTGGGGTATTTTTTGGGATTTTTTTTCAAATTTTTTTTCAGATTTTTTTCCTTATTTTTTTCTGATTTTTGGGAATTTTTTTCTCATTTTTTTCCTGATTTTTGGGGCATTTTTGGGGATTTTTTCTGATTTTATTTTTGAATTCTTGGTGATTTTTGGGGCGTTTTTGGGGCATTTTTGGGTCACAAACTGAGGCAGGGCGCGGCGGGCAGGGCGCTGCGCACCGAGCGCATCGTCAGCAGGTACGGGTGGATTTTGGGGGGTTTTGGGGGGTTTTGGGCAATTTTGGGCGTTTGGGATTTTTGGGGATTTTATCCTTATTTTTTTCTGATTTTTGGGATTTTTTTCCCATTTTTTCCCAGTTTTTTTCAGATTTTTTGATTATTTTTTCTGATTTTTGGGGGGATTTTTTGGGATATTTTTCACTCTTTTTTTTTTCAGATTTTTCCCTTATTTTTTTCTGATTTTTGGGATTTTTTTTTCCCATTTTTTTCCCATTTTTTTTCGGATTTTTGGGGTTTTTTGATGATTTTTTCGGATTTTTTGGGGCAGTTTTTGTGATTTTTTTCAAATTTTTTTTTCAGATTTTTTTCCTTATTTTTTTCTGATTTTTGGGATTTTTTTGCCATTTTTTTCCCAATTTTTTTCGGATTTTTNGACACAGGGACGTGTCTGTGTGAGGTCAGGGAAATGGGTCTGGGGGCTTCGGGGGTCTGGGGGGTCTGGGGACACAGTGACACAGGGACATGATTGAGGTGAGGGAAATGGGTCTGGGGGCTTCAGGGGGCCCCAGGGGCGTCCCTGGAATTGGGGAGGGGTCTCTGAGGCCCCCCCAAATCCCCCTCCCCAATTTGGGCTCCCTGAGGGCCTCCCCGGGAGATTCCACTCACAGACTGTGGGGGTGCCCCTGGAATTGGGGTGGATTTGGGGGGGGTCCCACGGGGGTCCCTCCAATTTGGGGAGGGGTCTTAAAATCGGGAAGGGGTCCCAGGTGGTCCCTGACCCCCTCCCCAATTTGGGCTCCCTGAGGGAGATTCCACTCACAGACTGTGGGGGTACCCCTGGAAATTGGGGGTGGATTTGGGGGGCTCCCGGGGCGTTCCCCCCAATTTGGGGAGGGGTCTTAAAATCGGGAAGGGGTCCCAGAAATTGGGGAGGGGTCTCAGAAATCGGGAAGGGGTCTGAAGTGGTCCCTGACCCCCTCCCCAATTTGGGCTCCCTGAGGAAGATTCCACTCACAGACTGTGGGGGTACCCCTGGAAATTGGGGTGGATTTGGGGGGTCCCGGGGGTTCCCCCCAATTTGGGGAGGGGTCCCTGAGGCGGCGCCGCCCCCCAGCCTGTTCCTGTCGCGCGGGGCCGACCCCGAGGTGCGGAACAAGGAGGGCGACTCGCCCCTGGACCTGAGCCCGGAGCGCTCCGAGGTCTGGGTGGCGCTGCAGCTCAACAGGAAACTGAGGCAGGGCGCGGCGGGCCGGGCGCTGCGCACCGAGCGCATCGTCAGCAGGTACGGCGCGATTTTGGGGGATTTTGGGCAATTTTGGGCAATTTTGGGCGTTTGGGATTTTTGGGGAATTTTTTCGGATTTTTGGGAATTTTTTCCCATTTTTTTCCCATTTTTTTTCCTGATTTTTGGGGTATTTTTTGGGATTTTTTTCAAATTTTTTTTCAGATTTTTTTCCTTATTTTTTTCTGATTTTTGGGATTTTTTTTCTCATTTTTTTCCTGATTTTTGGGGTATTTTTTGGGATTTTTTCACTTTTTTTCTCATATTTTTCCCTTATTTTTTTCTGATTTTTGGGATTTTTTTTCTCTTTTTTTTCCTGATTTTTGGGGCATTTTTGGGGATTTTTTCTGATTTTATTTTTGAATTCTTGGTGATTTTTGGGGCGTTTTTGGGGAATTTTTGGGTCACAAACTGAGGCAGGGCGCGGCAGGCAGGGCGCTGCGCACCGAGCGCATCGTCAGCAGGTACGGGGCGATTTTGAGCAATTTTGGGCAATTTTGGGCGTTTGGGATTTTTGGGGAATTTTTTCCCATTTTTTTCTGATTTTTGGGATTTTTTTACCAATATTTTTTGGATTTCTTGGTATTTTTTAATGATTTTTTTTTCGGATTTTTTTGTGATATTTTTTGCTGGATTTTTTGGGAATTTGGGCTGGATTTTTTGGGAATGATGCTAGATTTTTTTGGGAATTTGGGCTGGATTTTTTTTTGGGAATTTGTGCTGGATTTTTTTGGGAATTTGGGCTGGAATTTTTTTTGGAATTTGGGCTGGATTTTTTTTGGATTTGTGCTAGATTTTTTTGGGAATTTGGGCTGGATTTTTTGGGAATTTGGGCTGGATTTTTTTTTGGGAATTTATGCTGGATTTTTTTGGGAATTTGGGCTGGATTTTTTGGGAATTATGCTAGATTTTTTGGGGAATTTGGGCTGGATTTTTTTTTGGAATTTGGGCTGGATTTTTTTTGGATTTGTGCTGGATTTTTTTGGGAATTTGGGCTGGATTTTTTGGGAATTATGCTAGATTTTTTCTTGGGAACTCGTGCTGGATTTTTTTCGGCAATTCGGGCTGGATTTTTTTGGAAATTTCAGCATTTCTAACCGGATTTTTTTGGGAATTTCGGCAACTTGGGCTGGGTTTTTTGGGAATTTGTGCTGGAATTGTTGGGAATTCCCGCAGGGACGTGGCGCGGGGCCACGAGAACGTTCCCATCCCCTGCGTCAACGGCGTGGACGAGGAGCCGTGCCCACAGGACTACAAATACATCGCCGAGAACTGCGAGACCTCCACCATGAACATCGACCACAACATCACCCACCTGCAGG